TTGGCACTAAATAAGTAAACATTGGTTTAGAAATAGAATAGTGGATGAATGGAACAAGTCACCAAACATCATTATTGATTCGAATACGATGACTAGCGATAGGGGTTGGGTATAAATGGGACTGTCCAATATGGGCCAGTAGGCCTGCTGCAATTTCCGCCATTCTTATGTTGTTATCAGTTAGCTCGCCGGTATCTGACTGTATTGGTCCAATCTCTTCTCGTGAATTAGTTTGATACATTTGAAAGAATCCCTTGGGGTTTGACTTCGCCTCCCTTACTACCTTCAATTCATTATTCCTCTTTGCTTTTCTTATCTCGGTCTTAAACCTAATGGCCAATACCTTATAATAAGCCCGCCTACAGCAAATGGACCAGTTAAAAAAAGCCAGGAAACAAGGGAAACACGTGACGTTCAGTCATACAACCCTTGTTGTGAGGGATCAGGCAAGTGAACACCCGCCACTCATCCATCCGCTGTACCAAATCCCCCTCCAGCCCTCGAACCCCTCCCCTGAGAACCAGCCACTGTCGCTATCACATGGTGTATAATATGGACACGAAGTAGTACCTTAAGCTGTGTATTCTTATATTACTCTATTAATTATGTATAGTAAAGTATTACAGAACATGTATTAATCCTATGTAATATTTCCATTTATTATGCACCATGTTATGTATATGAATTATCATATTTACATTTTATGTATTCAGCTTGTGAATGCTGGCATCTGTACATGCCAGCGCGGAGTGATACAGAGAGTGAAGACCACCAGTCCTTATGGTGTGGTAGCGAGTTTCTTGGTCCATCTCTGTATATCTCCCGTACGAGAATAAGAACCTATTTTTAAGATAGCAAGTGTTTGTGTATACCCTCAGTAGTGTAGAACATTTTGGGGGTATCAAAGTCAAACATAGACCCTCCACCGGCAAACTCGAGTACTACACGTCCACCCTCTGTGGTGGAAACCAGGAATCCTCAAAACCAAGTGAAAGGCGCACCTCCCACTCAATCTGGGAATCACCCTCAACAGTACCGGTCATCTTAATTCTGTTGGTTGTAGCACTTGTAGTACGTTCCCCCGTTATAACTTTCTTAGATCTTCCTTTTTCACACCTCAGTGACCCTGAGTTTTTACTGCTCCTTAATCAGTATCAATGTTCCAACAATGATGATGCTAGTGTCATTCCCTTAGATGTGCTAGATCGTATGTGTTACACCCCCTTTACCAATGGTGTCCACACAATACTCCCTCATATCGCTCCTGATGCCTTTCCACAAGACTCACTGGGTTACACTAACCCCAACTATAACTATTACTTTCCTGACTCTCCTTGATTAACAATAACATCAGTAGTATTCCCCCTTCATCTAGATACCTTTTTAAATCAGTGTATATCTTCTATTGCCCACAAATTTTATATACTTCGGTTCAGTGAGACCAAACTCACTAACGATACTGAACATTTGTATAAAATTCCTAATTATAATTGACACTGCGTCAACAAGTCACGACACAGTGGTGGTGTTGCCCTATATGTTGATATCAAGTATAGTACTTCTGTAAGAGATGATTTAAAGGTTCAGGAGGAGTACATGGAGAGTGTTTTCACGAAATATCCTAGTAAGAGTAATCTACAGAAGACCCCACACTAATGTAAGAAATTTTCGGAGCTTATCTCTATCATAAGTTCAGAGAGGAAACTTTGCTACATTACAGGAGATTTCAAGCTTGATCTATTAAAATCAGAAACCGACACCTCAGTATTAGACCTTCTTGCTACCTGTCATTGTAAGCGCCGACAACATACTCCTTTTTTAAAACAACCTCATGAATGCTAAGTCGGGTCTTGTCTTTGCCTCCGACAACCTTAACGTGAGCAGACGCAACTTCTCTTGCATCTTCAATGCTTGCTTTGATAAATGCTTCCCCCTCAAGACTAAGTCAGTGAAAACTGTATCCATTTCCAAACACTATATCACAAGCGAAATTAAGATAATGATAAAAGAAAAACACAAACTCCAAAGGAAATTTTAAAAAAGACCCATAACTTTCGGTGATGCTTATTGAAGTATCAGAAATAGAGTAACTCAAGCAGTTAGAAATGCCAGAAGTAGCTATTATACAAATAAGCTCCAGTCAGCATCAAGCGACGGTAAGAAAACGTGGATTGTCATAAATTCTATTCAGAACAGGAACACTCAGCCTTCGGCCCCCACTCAGCTTTTATGATAAATGATTGTTGTAACGGAACCCTCCCTCATTTCCAACCACTTCAATGAATATTTTATTAATGTTGGCAAAAATCTTGCAAAGAGCATCCCTGATCACCATGGGGAATTTAGAGCCTACTTGCAAAACAGACAGCAAAATGAGCTGTTCTTATCCCCTGTCACAGCAGATGAATTACTGGCCATCATAAAAATGTCCAAGGATGCAGCAGCAGGCGAATATACCAATGACCATCATTAAGAAAGTAGCCCACTTATTACTACCTGTTCTCCTACACATCTGTAACTCCTCCTTCACTAGTGGTGCCTTTCCGGATAAACTGAAAATTGCTAAAGTTCACCCAGCATATAAAAAGTCTGTCGACAAAGGTCTCTTCAAGAATTACCGCCCCATATCAGTCTTCCCAGCCTTGAGTAAGATACAGGAGAAGCTAGCATGTAGTAGACTAAATTCCTTCTGCAATGCCAATAACATCTTTACAGACTACCAGTTTGGATTTAGAGCTAGAAGGTCGACAGAGAGTGCGCTGCTATCCTTTACTAATGACATCTTAAATTCCTTTGATGACAGTCAGTTCACAGTCGGTATATTCTTGGACCTCTCTAAAGCCTTCGATACTGTCAACCATACCATCCTCCTTTCAAAGCTTGAACATTACGGCATTAGGGGCCTGTCCCACAATTGTTTTTTCCTCATATCTATCCAACAGGAAGCAGTATGTCTGCTATAATAATCACCAATCTGACTCCTCGCCAATCTTGTATGGCGTCCCCCCAGGTTCCATTCTCGGTCCAGTACTGTTTTTGTTGTACACAAACGACATAGTCCACACCAGCACACTCATAAAATACAACTTATTGCAGACGATAGAAATCTCTATGCCTCCATTCTTTGATGAGAACTATGAACACTGAATTGACTAAAGTCAGGACCTGGGTAATAAGTAATAAACTGACCTTAAACCTTGAGAAAACCCTCTACCCCCAGACTTGGACCCCCTGTACCTTGGTAATACAGTCCTCAAATGCGAACAAAATACTAAATTCCTCGGAGTTATTGTTGATGAGAAACTTAACTGGAGAAACCACATACAAGCCATTCACAGTAAAGTCAATAAACAGTGCGGTATCATGTATCACACTCGACAATCACTCACCCTTACAGTCACAGCAATGAAAGAAATATATCATGATATTGTTTACCAACACCTGATACACTGTCAAACACTATATGAGGCCTCTGGCTCTTCAAAAACACAATCCCTGGTAACTGCACAAAATCGAGTTGTACGGACAATGACCTACTTGAAAAAAAAACAGATCACTCAAACGAAAAATTTGCTAAATTTAAAATGTTAAAATTCGAAGATATTAACACCTTAATGCACTCAGAACTACTATGACCACCCCATGCGCTCCTCTCAGTCCCAGACCTTCTTAAAATATTATACTTTGAAGGTGTGGAACAATTTACCCCCACCCATCCGAGCAAAGACTACGCTCCCTTCCATTACAATTTCAGGGGTTCTTAACCTGGGGTCCATGGACCCCCAAGGGGTCCATGGATGGGTTTGAGGGGGTCCGTGAAGGTCAGATAAAAATTTAACATTTATATTCACTATATTTTTATATTAAGTTGTTCTATTTTTGTCATTATATACCAGATGTTATGTGTGTATTTTTGGTTACTGAAGAAAACTAGTAAATCTGTAGGGTGGCACGTCCCCTGCCACTGCGTATAGCGCTGACCGCTAAGCGTCTCTGGTGGCCCATGTTTACCATTTAAATTGGTAGCATCGTTCTCTGCACAACCACCATCTTGAGCCACTCCCTATTAAGTGCTTATTTCTCATTTTCCACGGTTTATCACGGCTTGGGAATCTTCTCATATACTGGTAAGGCTTAACTGAGGGCCATAGTATCTTCAAATACATACTTTTCCTAAATATATTCAATTACCTATGGTTATGTTTTTGGTGAAGGTAGCGAAAGAGGGCCTTAGTTATTATTACTACAGCTGTACCAGCCGAGGTTGGAGACCTCCGACCGCCTCCGGACCACAATTTCAGAGTGTGGCTGAAGAGTGATGGGTGTACACTACAATGTGTGAATATGTGTTTGTGCGTATGTGGGTGCATATGGAGAAAGGCGCGTGCGAGTGTTGTGAAAAACCAAGAACGGTTGATGCGCTGTATTTATTTGTTTTATCCATTATTTACAACAAGTTTGTTATTATTTATTGGTCAAAGTTAGGGACTGGGTTCACGTAATTAGAGTAGGGATGCATAGATAGAGAGAGAATGGATAAAGTTAGGGTCTTGGTGCGTCAGTAGGGTAGGAAAACACGAAGTCATCAGTCAGTACCATTCATATATTTTCTGAGGGGAACCTTGAGAAATCCGTAATAATGCTACTGAAAATAGGGTTATCTGTCTGTTTGTCTGTGAAGGATTGTCCGTCAGTCGGTCTGTCTATCTGTCGATCTGTATTTCTGTCGGTCGATCTGTCGTGCTTATTAATTTGTATTTATTAGTAACTGCTTTCCATATAAATTACATAACATTTTTTTGTTTTGCAGGCCTAGCTCAATTTGGAAATGTCAAAGAAAAGGAAGTACAACTAAGCTTACTTATCCTTTGGTTTTACTTTCATCGCTGAACGTGATGGGACACAAAAGCCGCAGTGTTTCCTGTGTGGCAAGGGTCTTGCCAATGGAAGCATGAAGCCAACAAAGCTGAAGGAGCACCTCACGTCTGTCCATCCTGAAAATGCATCGGACAGTGTTGATCTATTTCTTGCAAAGAAGGCTCGATTTGAGAAAGCTGGAACTTTACCAAAACTTGGATTTGCCCCAACACAAAAGTCTTGTCTTGAAAGCATCCTACAAGGCTGCTTATCGCATTGCCAAGCAAAAGAAGCCACATACGATTGGAGAGACCTTGGTAAAGCCATGTGCCCTGGAAATGGTCGAGCTGGTTTGTGGCTTGGAACAGAGGAAGAAAATTGCAGCCGTGCCTTTATCAAATGACGTCATCCACTCTAGAATTGTTGACATTTCTTCTAATATTCTGAAGTAAGTAATGGAAGAATTGGCAGCTACGCCATTTCCATTCAACATGCAACTGGAGGAAACTACTGACATCTGTCAGTGCAGCCAGCTCCTGGTTTTCGTCCGTTATAGGCATGCTGATGCCATCAAAGAAGAATTCCTATTTTGTGAGCCCCTTTTGGAAACTACATAGGCCATCGACATCTTAGAAATGGTGAATAGCTTCTTTGCCAAGCAAAACTTCGACTGGAAGAAAAATCTTGGCACTCTGTGCACAGACGGAGCACCTGCGATGCTTGGCAACACATCTGGTTTTGCTGCCTTGGTGAAGAAAGAAGCTCCTCAGGTCATCGTGACCCATTGTTTTCTACATCGGCATGCATTTACGTCAGACTCTGCCAGCAATTCTGAAAGAAATCTTGTTTACTGGCGTGAAAGTCGTCAACTTCATCAGAGCCAGGGCTGTGAACCATCGGGTTTTCAAGAGGTTTTGTCAAGAAATGGGAGCAGAAAATTAAGTTCTTCTCTACCACACAGAAGTTATCTGGCTTTCCAGAGGACAAATCTTGAAGCGCTTGATTGAACTTCGAGCAGAAGTTTCACTTTTTTTTAGAGAAAAAGAAAGCCCACTCTCAGAACAGTTTGGCAGTGAGGAGTTCATTCATGGCTTGGCCTACTTGGCGGATATTTTTGGCCATATGAATGAGGTGAATCTTGCGATTCAAGGCCCTAGAGTCACCATTATGGATGCTGCTGAAAGACTGCAAGCTTTTCTGGCCAAGCTGCCACTGTGGAAGAGCAGTTTGGAGGCAGACAACTGTGCAAACTTTCCATTGTTAGAGGAAGTGCTTGTGCAGAATGGAATCGAGAGTGACAAGGCCCTGTCAATTTCTCTGCAGGCAGAATTCTGCAGACATCTGGATACTCTGCAGAACTCTTTCAAAAGTTACTTTTGCTCAGGTGACCTTAAAGTTGAAACATGGATTCGTAATCCTTTCCTTGTCGACATAGACTGTATCAGTGATGAAGACCTTGCCAAAGAAGACCTCATTGACCTGAAGACAAATGAAATGTTACGAAATGAATTCAACTCGAAGAGCCTTGGAGAATTCTGGTGTGCGTTGACACAAGCCTACCCTCGTCTGGTAAAGCGAGCTATGGGTGCTCTGATATCGTTTGCTACTACATACCTTTGTGAGTCAGGGTTTTCAGCACTTGTTTCTATCAAAACGAAAAGTCGAAATCGATTGGATGTCAAAGATGACATGCGTGTTATCTTGTCAGAGACCACTCCACAGTTTAATCTTCTTATTCAAGCCAAACAACAACAACCTTCTCATTGAAATAAACTTTTGAGCAGAATTAAAGTTTTGTTTTGTTTAATTTGCACAAGATGTGACTGTATTTCATTTTTGTATGGAGTGGCCATTAATTTCTGCATAAAATAGTGTGAAACATAATTCTTTGTTAAGATTGTTTACTTTATTCATACTTTGTGTATGTCATACACTGTATGAGGCAATGAATTTTCAATGAAATAAAGTATATTCATTGCATGCAAAGTTGTGTTTATGTGCTTATGTGCAATTTTCTAGGGAGGGGGTCCATAGCTTTCACCAGATTCTCAAAGGGGTCCGTGACTCAAAAATGGTTAAGAACCACTGCTTTAAATCATCTCTTATAAATATCTATTGTCTAAGTATTAATATTTCTTGTAATACCTACAGTACCTGCTTTTATTGTGCCATCAAACCCGTTTTATTGGAAATAATCATGTTAATAGATAAGATATTACCATTGCAATAAATATATTTGCCAACTAGACTTAATCCTGACAGCTCTGTCCTCTTGTTCAACGTTTATACTGTACAACCCAAGTTGTACTGCTTCCCCATTACATTTATGTTTTTCAATTCCACTGTAATTTATGTATGTATTTATAATATAAATTAAATAAATAAAAATAAAAATAAATAATAAATAAATATTGAAGTGATAACCGTGGTAACATTCTGAGATGTTCTTATTACCACAATGCCATTGTGCTATTCCAGATGTTACTAAATGTTACATAATACTTTCTTGAGATAAATGTATTGTATATAACAGGTGCCTACAGGAGAGCTTAGATTCTCAACTGACTCAGCCACGTTAATATTGTTATTATTATCCACTCTATATCTGTGTTTTTCTGGCAAATTTCACCACGCTTTATTCTTCTACCTATAGCCTTCCTCTGTCCAATAATATTCTTTAAATAATTATTTATCCATTTAGGGTCATTGTTGTCTGATCTGAGTCTTTTGTATGGTATGTTCTGCCTTTCTGCAATAAGCTGGGACAACTTCTACGGCAGAAGGGACCTTTATGCTAGGGATGGGGTGCACCTGTCTCGGGATGGGGTGGCAACCCTGGCGGGGTCTCTAGAGGGGGCAGTTCAAAAGATATCGAAGTCTTTAAACTACTAGGGGGACATATGGACACGGGGGTGGAGGAGACTGCAGTGGGAGCGGGTAAACAAAGTAAAAGGTTACAGGGAAATAGTGTTAGGAATGATGACAAAGCTAAATTAGACAGGGAGTTAAGACCTAAACGCAGTAAAGGGAGGACTCGGAACACGACTAACCTAAATGTCTACTACGCGAACAGTAGAAGTATGAGAAACAAAATGGATGATATTAGGGGCTTGGTATGTACCGAAAAAATCGATATAATAGCATTCACTGAAACATGGATCAAACTAGACTCATGTGAGTTACCGGTCGAATACCAAATTGCAGGTTACAAATTGTTCCATACCGACAGGCAGACCAGGAAAGAAGGCAGAGTAGCAATCTATGTCACGGATAACTTGAAGTGTGAAATAAACAAAGAAATAAAAACAGAGGAATACAGAAACAATTTGGATAGAATTAATCGACGGAAGGGAAAAATTAATCACAGGAGTAATATATAGATCTCCCAATCTTGATAGAGTTAATGAGCGACTTATCTGGGATGAAATGCACAGGGCTTCCATACACAACAAAGTCTGTAGAGTAGGCAACTTTAACCTTGGCCAAATAGATTGGATTGGCCTTAAGGGTAACTAAGAATCAGAGGATTTTCTCGAAACGATCCAGGACTGTTTCCTAAATCAACATATAACCGAACCCACCCGGGGTAATAATATACTCGATTTAGTTGTGTAGAACAGAGAAAACCTCATTAGCAATGTCGAGGTAGGGAACGAACTTGCAAACAGCTATCACAAAGAAATTAGATTCTTGTTAAATTTTCAGGGCAGACGAAAGGAAAATTCCAGAATTCAGAAGGGCAAACTTTGATAGTTTGAAGAGGCAGTTGAGGGAAGGAGTATTACACCTGGGGGTGACTCACACACTGACCTCACCCCACCCACGAACCTGGCGGTTGACACCGACCTGATAACGAGATCCGAGATTGCCGAGTTCCACGACAATTTAAATAATGAGTTACTTAATGCACAAAGGTAGAACATACCATACAAAAAACTCAAATCAGACAACAATAACCCTAAAGGGATAAATAATTATTAAAAGAAGATTATTGGCCAAAGGAAGGCTATACGTAGAAGGATAAATCGTGGCGAAATTTACCTCATGGATTATTATAAGGTATTGGCCGGTAGGGTTAAGACCGAGATAAGGAAAGCAAAGAAGAATAATGAACTGAAGATAGCAAGGGAGGCGAAGACAAACCCCAAAGGATTCTACCAAACTAAAACACGAGATAAGATTGGACCAATGCAGACAGATACCAGCGAGCTAACTGATAACGACGGAGAAATGAGCAATAATCTGAATAAATATTTTTCAACAGCTTTCACCACCGAAAATTTAGACATGATACCCGAGGCACCGACTCTATTCAGGGATAGTAAAGAAAACAAATTAAGCGAGATAGTAGTGACTAGTAACGATGTTATTAAGCAAATAGACAAACAAAAGCCTAATAAGTCACCTGGTCCCAATGAGATATTTGCCAGAGTATTAAAGGAATGTAAGGAAGAGCTTAGTATGGCCTTAGCAAAGTTGTTTAATATGTCCTTAAAAACAGGTGTAGTACCAGAATCTTGGAGGATAGCGAATGTAATACCGATTTTCAAGAAGGGGGATAGAGCACTATCCTCTAACTACCGCCCAATCAGTCTAACATCAATAGTAGGCAAATTACTGGAAGCAATCATTTCAAACTTTATTCGAAACCACCTGGAGAAGCACCAATTGATCAATGATTCCCAGCATGGCTTCACAAGCGGGCGTTCATGTCTAACTAATCTATTAACATTCTTTTCATCAGTTTTCGAATCGGTGGACGAGGGGCACAATTATGATGTGGTATATCTCGACTTTAGCAAAGCCTTGGACAGATTCCCCCACGAAAGACTAATTAGAAAGATAGAAGCACATGGCATCAAAGGTAATATCCTTACATGGATTAGGGCGTGGTTACAGGACAGGAAACAGCTCATGAGCATTAACGGCACTAAATCCCATTGGAGCAACGTCACTAGCGGAGTTCCCCATGGCTCAGTACTTGGACCATTATTATTTATTATATACATAAACGACATAGATATCGGCATAGACAGCAACATAAGTAAATTTGCTGGTGACACTAAAATAGTACGTGTTATTAAATCTGACGACGACTCCACAAAACTACAGGAAGATATAAAAAAAATTTTCGAATGATCTGAAAAATGGCAGATGAAATTCAACGTGGACAAATGTAAAGTACTCAGTATAGGAGATGTAAACAGGGAAACCAGTTACAAGATGAACATCGATGCCATTGAGAAATCCGACTGCGAGAGAGATTTAGGAGTAATGAAAAGTAGGAACCTTAAACCAAGTAAACAATGTGTATTTGCTCGGAACAAGGCTAATAAAGTACTTGGGTTCATACAATGGAGTGTTAGTTACAAGACTAGCGAGGCCATCCTAAAACTATATCTTGCTCTTGAGAGACTTCACCTGGATTATGCAGTTCAGCTCTGGTCACCGTATTACAGAATGGATATAGAATCCTTGGGTACAATTTAGGGGAGAATGACAAGGCTAATCCCGAGCATTAGGAACCTTGAGTACAGAGACAGGTTAAGGCATCTTAATTTGCACTCCCTCGAGAGACGTAGAGTGAGAGGCGATATGATAGAGGTGTATAAATGGAAGTCAGGGCTGAACAAAGGGGACATTACAAAGGTACTCAAACTATCCAATCAGGAGCGAACTCGTAACAATGGTTTTAAATTAGACAAATTTAGATTTAGGAGTGAAATAGGTAAACACTGGTTTGGTAACAGTAGTGGATGAATGGAACAAGTTACCAAATATCATCATTAACTCGAATACGCTGGATAGCTTCAAACATAGGTTGGATGCTTATATGAGCAATAGGGGTTGGACGTAAATGGGACTGCCCTGTATGGGCCAATAGGCTCACTGTAGTTTCCTCCATTCTTATGTTCTTAAGTAAGTCATCATTTCAATTGTTGTGGAACTCGTCAACCTCAGATCTCGTGAACAGGTTATCCTCAACCGTCATATTTTGTGAGGATATCATTGTCAGGTCTCTAGGTAAAGTGAGGTCGCCTCTGTGGGTACATTGTGTGAGGTCATGTAACCCATCCCCAAACGTGACACCCCTTCTCTTACCTGCCTTTTCAACATATCAAAGTGTGCCCTTCTGAAATCTCGCAGATTTTAATGGAATTTTCCATGCCTCTGCCATTATTCTTTCTCATCTTACATGTGTTATGTTAGGTTTGTATTATGTTTTGTTGTGATATGTATTGTTGTAGGTTATATGGTATATTGTTGTATTGTAAATTATGTATTATTTGTGTCAATGTTTACATTCTTGTATGAGTAATAAACAACCTGGCAACTCTGTGAGGTTAGTTGGTAGGTCTACCAGTGGCTGTCACTAACTCACTCCCCTGGCTTCTTGACGTGTTGTTGTGCTGACCAGCTCTGCCCTGCGCTGTGTACGGGTATCCGGTGTCTCTGACCGTTTTGTGTTTGTGCTACTGAGTGGTCACCTCACAGCTAAGTCTACTTTGTTTATATGAATTAGGAATATAATTATAGCGTGTATTGTGATACGTAACACTTACTCCATGTACTTGTTCTCAGTTATAGTTGATGTACATTCATTTTCACCTTTCTGTGTATAGAGTGTAAATATGTTTTAATATATTATAGCAGTTTATAGAGTATTATGAATACTCCCGTTCCCCGTTTATCTTCCCTTGTGTTTTCATGTTGTGGAACATTATAATAACCCCTAGACAAGTATGTCCCATAACAACCTAGCCTAACCGAACCTAAACAAATCTAACCTAACCTTAATAAACCTAACCTTACCTAACCTAACCTGACTTAACCTAACCTAACCTACTTGTGACATAATTTTGCTATCTTATGATAGTAAAAGACGCCATAAGTGCAACAGAGCAAATTTTACCACATGGGAATTAATTTCCATTCAGTTATAGCTATAAAAACGAAAAGTTATCCCAATCGGCAATTATTTCTATTTAGTGCTGCAAGTATATCAGAAACTGTATTATGTACAGGTATATTAATGCAAACAATAATCACCTATGAGTGCCAAGCATCAGACACACACCACCATCACCATGAATGGCAGGAAGGAAGCTTATCCACTGGACCACGATTGGCTACCCCACCTTTAACTAGTCTCCTTTAGCTCAGGTTTCTTGCCCACGTTCTGTGAACCGAAGGATTGGGGCAGCCCGCCCACACTCGAGTTTCAGAAGGCTTTATTAAACGAGTTTCCAGAACAACGGCTAACAGTTATTGGGCAAGAATCTGAGCTACAAGAGAGTAGTTAAGGTGAGTCAGCTTTCAGCCCATTATGGTCCAGTGGATAAGCATCTTCCTGCCATTTCTGGTGGTCCGGGAATTAGGGATTGAAATCCCTTACCAGACTAATCAGGTTCTTAACAAAGGAAAGTCAAGGACCATGGTTTTCTGAGGAATAGCAAACAACCGTTTGAGATTGACATCTCTTTACTATAAAAATATAACACAAAACTCTGACACCACTCAACAAACATCAAATAATTACGGGAGTCAAACAATTAATGCAGTCACTAGTTAATGGAGTTAATCAATTAAGGGAAGCAAACAATTAAAGGAATCGAAAAATAAAGGGGAGTCAGCAATTAATGGAATCAAACAACCATAGAATCAAACAATTAACAGATATTTCCTACGGCAGTGGCCCTGGGGGAAGGTTCTGGAACAAGGTGATGCACACTCAGGGTAGGGAAGCGTCCATTCAACTCCACACTCGAGCGACAGCGGCCGATTATCTTGAAATGGCAGGAGAACACCGGGGCACAGACGGAATGAGATGAACTGACGGTCGTGGTATGTGGTAGTGGTAGTTGACCAGAGAATGACTGTCGATAGGTGAAGGTCTGGGGTCACAGCCCACAAGTCCAGGACCTATGATGAGATCACAGCCAGGGGTAGCTAGATAGTGACTGTATGGCGCCTGGGGTGAATCTGCCGGTGACCCGGGTAGCAGCTGCCGTTCTCACCTCTGTCCAACCACCCAATTGTTAGTCGCACCAGCTAACAAGCGAGTAAGAAACGGTAACGAGCAGGAAGATAGTTTCCGCCCTTACACAGCTCCCCCAACAAAAATCTACTGTAAGGTAGATTAAAACTTAAGATTAGTACACAAAGCATAATCATCTTACAACAATTGCTTAAATACATATATCAAAATAAAGAAGGGTCACATAAAAGAATAGGTGGTAACTTGATGTCCAAAACGTAAGGCCTTATCAAGGAACTGCATGTGAGATCCACTTCAGTTCAGGTTTAAGTTTGGGCCTATTTACAATCGTAGAGGATTCTTCTATCCCGTCCGGTGTTAGCAGCAACTGGCATCCGAGATCAACAGAGTCTGGCGCCCGAACTTCACAGGAACTCTTGCAGGGTAGTCTCTCGACTAATTCCAGCTTGGGGACGTCGTCAAGGACACGAGCAATGTGGGTCCTGCAATTATATTCCCTTAACGAATTAGCTTGATGTAATTTAGGCTTCTTAGAGGAAGGGGGTGAGAATCGTCCAACAAAATCTATGGCTACCCGAGAAGATGGTTCTGCAATGACGGGTAAGGGTTCAAGTGGAACAGGACGGACTCTACCCTTGGCGGACATACGTGGGCACTGATCACAACTCCTACAACAAGCTCTAATATCCGCTCCCATACCTGGCCAGTAAAACTGATCAGCAACCTTCCTATAAGCTTTCCTACGAGAACAGTGACTTACTAGAGGGCTCTTGTGAGCTACAGAGAGAATGTTACTACGACAAACAGCAGGGACAACAAGCAAAAACCGACCTACTTTGGCTGGACGCTTGGATGACACACAAGACCTGTGTAATACCCCATTAATAGAAACAAACTTATAAACCGACCCATCTCTCGCTTGATCCTCCTCCCCGGAAGTCACCTTCTCCCTTACCCGCTTCAGAGTGGCACACGAGTATTAAAGCTTGGCGAACTCCCCGGGAGTCACAGTCAGTGGCAACAAATTCGGAAGAATCAGGGGATGCGGTCGTTTCACCTTCGCCGACCTTTTCTCCACAGCTTGGACCTTTGCTGGAGGTGTGGTGGCGTGTGAGGGTGGCGAGGAAACGTCGTCAACAGGTGGCGTGGGGACTGGTGCTGGTGGCGAGGAGACTGGCGCTGGTGGCGAGGAGACTGGTGCTGGTGGCGAGGAGAGTTTGAACGGTTCCGGGTCGTTAAGGTCACGAATACCGGGAACATTACCAATGAAGACACTAGTAAATTTAATGGGAGCTCTTACCACATTAGACCAACCATTGAAATAGGGGCAACGCAGGTACCACCTAACAATAGGGAACTGGTCAACACGACCTAAATAATCGGCGACACTAACCTTCGGGCAGCTGGAGATGTCAGCGTCAGGCAGGGCTTCGTCAGAGACAATAATGCACGAGCAACCAGTGTCCCTGATGAAAGTAAATGCCCTAGACCCATTTATTGATCCATTGGCACAATAACGGAGGCAGCTCCTGTTGCTGGGCTGATGAGTGTCAGCAGTCTTGAAGGCGACGGGATTCCTGGGACAGCGAGAACGAATGTGCCCTTCTCCGCAGCTGTGACACCGGACGGCTGGTGAACTACTCCTGGGGATGGTTCCTCGGAGGACGGAGGCTTCGCAATCTTCACTACAGGAGGGGAAGACTTAGGGTAGGCGTTGCAAGCAGACGCCCAGTTGTCGGCAAGACGAACAGCTTCTCCAAGCGTCGCTGGCTGGTGTTCTTTGATGAAAATTCTCAAGTCTGGAGGTAGAGAAGACAAAAACTGATCTAATATCATGAAGTTAGAGAGAGACTCAAAGGTTTCGTCAACCCCTGATGTCTCCAGCCATTGTTGAAACAAACGTCCCAGGTGAATCGAAAACTGCTGGTACGTTTCTCCTGCTCTAATCTTCGTTTTGTGGAAATTAACACGATAACCGTCAGAAGTCTTGAAAATCCTCGCAAGAGAGCTTGCTTCAACAAGAAGTAATCTCTGGTGATGTCGGCAGACAGGGACGTGTAAATTTCTACCGGCTTACCACTCAGTAGGCTACCCAACCTTACAGCATAGCTATATGGGTCTACACCAAGCAGCTCAGCTACCCGTTCAAACCTAACAAGGTAGGAGGCGATGTCTTCTCCTTCACGGTACACAGGCAAGCTGGGTTTTACCACATTGTCTTGTATATGGCCAGAGGATTCTGGACTACTTGAAGCATTAATCCTAGCTAGTTCTAGGTCCTTTTCTATCTGCAACTTAGCTAATTCGAACTCTTTAACTATTTCTGCTGCTTTACTCCATCGCTCTCTCTTTCTGACGTTCCTAGATCTCTCTCTCTCTCTCTCTCTCTCTCTCTCTCTCTCTCTTTCTGAAGTGCCTCTCTCTCTTTCTCACGTGCCTCTCTCTCTCTCTGACGTTCCTCTCTCTCGGCATTCTGTTGGGTGACCACATGCTGACCAATCTCAGTACCTGTCAGACCCAGGGCCACCGCTTGACCTTTCAACACCTCAAAACTAGACATAATGATCCGAAAAGCCAAGAACAAAGAGAAAAACAAACAACTTACCCCGCAAATAGCCAAAGGTAACTCACCTAGTGGCTCAATCAGACCAATAAATGATTTGATCCGACTGGAGGGAACCTTGTTCTGCACCCAGCCCAGCTGAATCACTCTCAGGGTAACGAAACCGCACCAGGTGAAACAACAACAACAAAAAATGCTATGACAGCATCCACAGTGCACCCCAACCAACACTAACTTCTCCAAGTACAAGGGAGAGCAACAAAATTAGCACAGAAGGAAGGGAAAACCACTGAACAACACTTACTTCTTAGCAGCAGACAGTAAGTGGCGCGCTCATGGTGACTTACAATAACACCGGAACGAATGTTAAACCTCAGAAACCAAAGGTCAGAGACATAAGAACATAAGATCATAAGAAAATAAGGAGTCTGCAATAGGCCGGTTGGCTTGTGCATGGCAGCTCCTGTCGAGAGTTACTACCACTCTCTATCATCCATGAATCTATCTAGCCTCCTTTGGAAACTTTCCAGAGTTCCCACACTTACTACAAAGCTGCTAAGCTTGTTCCACTCGTCCACCACCCTATTTGTGAACCAGTTTCTTCCTATCTCCCTCCTAAACCTAAACTTATCCAACTTGAATCCGTTGCTCCGAGTCCTATCCTGCTCGAATATTATAAGAACTTTATCTATATCCCCTTTATTGATTCCTTTCACCCACTTAAATACTTCTATCATATCTCCCTGCACTCTTCGTCTTTCTAGGGAATGCAAGTTAAGTTTCTTTAACCTATCCTGATATGGAAGGCTTCTAAGTCCCGGAATCATTTTTGTCATTCTTCGCTGCACCGACTCTAGTGAATTTATATCCATTCTATAATAATAGGGTGTGTCATACGGAGGCGAATTTTTTTTTTTTTTTAGTTTGAAAAATCGGCCCATGGTATTAATGATGTAGTTCTATGTGCAGAATCATGTGATATATTCAGATTTGAAAAGTTTTCATTTTTTGCTAGGTAAATTTTAACTTGAAATCTTATGAAAATTCAGTATTCCCACCCTTTTACCAACACCACTAAATAGCTTATTTAAAGTGAAGTAAATGTATCAGGTTAATTTATTAGGATGAAAATGATCCAGAATAGTAAAACGAATGATCTTGACACATTTATTACATTTAATATTCCTTTAGAAAATAAAATCATCAAATACAAAAACCGGTTTTACTACTACGACCCGGTGTTGCTGCACACCATAGAGAACATGCCTTTCTTGCTTCTGTTTCTACTCATCACCTCCCTGCTGACCACCTGAGCTCGGATGTAGCCTTCCCTCCTCTCCTGGCTGTACACGTGACTGCTGGCCTCGCTCACTTGCTGTACACAACGCTCTATACTCTGGGTGTGCGAGGGCCAGGCAGGGAAAGCTCTGACTTGAACATTGGTGAGGCTGCAGGTAAGAGGGGGCTCACTGCCAGCCTGGAGGTTATCCAGATCTATGAGATCAGTGAGGGTCTTGGCACCTAGAGTGACTTCAGGAGTCTTCCTGACTCTGAAGGAATCGTCACCAACTGATTCGTCATGCCCAGATCCTCTCATAAGTCTCATATCCAAGATCTTTTTGACTGCCACTCTTCTCTCCTCCTCATCCTTACTGCAGAGCATTGTCTGCAGAACTGCCTCGGGATGAACATACCAGGAAGATCTCCTCACAGTCTGCTCCACAATCTGAACAACCTTCCTT